CCCCAAAACCCCAAAACCCCAAAACCCCAAATGCATTCAAAATGCTGAATAATTAAAATTTACATCATGGAGCGAGCTTCCTGAACTGAATCTATGCCTTATAGTTCAGGAACCCATTAGTTTAAAGTAAAGATGAAATCAGCATTCAAGTGAGGAGTTCAAGACTGAAGTCAGCAGGCTTCGTATATGTAAAGAGGGTACTATTTACATTTGTGATGAACACTTCCAATCAAATCAGAAGGAATATTGAGTACCAATTCATAATATAGATGGAGCCAAGAAACACTCGATATAGTGGAGAATTGTATTATAAACTTTAAATTAGACTTAGAGCAAGTTGAAGATCAAAATAACCAAGAAGAGTTAAAAGTGTTGATGAATAATATTCAAAGCAAGATACCAGAGATATCCATAAAGTTTGATTCGTGCATAGAAAATAATGAGACTGAAAAGTACAAACTAATCGAAACCAAGTCAAAGCCATTGTAACAGAAATCAAGAGTAGCCAACCATTTAGAAATTTGTGTGTCCAACACTATATGAACCTGATGTGAGATTATCTTGGAATTGACAGAGACGAAGTTAAAAAATTTACCAGCATCGATAGTTTCAAAGGATCACAAGACTCTGAAATCAGCAAGATCAAAACCGAACTTGAGGATATCAAATCAAAATTTATGATGTTCAAGCAGAGAGCCATGCTCAAGGTGGAGTGTTCAAATATAGATGATCTCAAACAGATTTACGAGATTGTCACAAGTAAACAGATTTTAGAAAAATGGAACAGTCAAGTTGAATTAGATTGAAAATCTAAACAAGGTGTTGAATTCATGGAGGACATCAAATGTCAGATTCTTCAAAACATTAATGGTTTCAGAATCTATAAAATAGATTCGAACCTGCTCTTTGTGAAAGAATTTCTGTAATCTTTTTTTCCACGGAAAGTAATGAGATTTGGTCTTAATTGATTTGGCAAAGTAATAGATATTGAGCAAGTGAATGATATTATTGTGTACATCAATCCGAGGATTATTAAGGAACTCCATCTTTATAGCTCTCAAATAGGTCAGTTTCTGTTGAAAATATTACTCCAAGCTGTTTGCAGAAATAAAACTCGTTTACGCTTAAGTAATTGAGCCTTAAAATTTGGCTCGGCTCCAAATCTGCAGTATTGACTGGAAGGATTCAAAATCGAGAAAATGTGTCTCAATAACTGGGGATTTCCTGAATTCTGTGACTGAGAAAATCATCCAGAAAGCTTCTCTAGCTTGATTGAAGGACTTAGCCAGAGCTAAGATTTTAAGAAAAGTATTCTAAAGCTTGAATCATATGAGTGAAAGATGGCAAAAGAATGTATGAGAGAAGTATTAGGCAAGTTTGGACTCGGCTCTGTTGAAATAATCAATCATTTTATTTTAACTTCTAAATAAATTAATTGCCTCAATTTCAAACAACAATTGAGGGGTTTTGGGGTTTTGGGGTTTTGGGGTTTTGGGG